TGCCATCTTTTCAATATACTCTTCAACTTGCGGTATTTTACGGTGTCCCGTGGTCAGTTATTCTAACTTTCTTTGCTTAATACGACAGATTCCGTTGGATACGGCGATGCTCTCATCGCACTTCTACCTTCTTTTTCCCGGGATAAAGAAGCTGCAGTAGATGATTCGATAATTTCGCTCGTTACCAACTGGTTTGTGGCAGATGTAAGCTTTGTGTCCTTTAGTACTTGAAATGTGGAACTTGTGAACATCACTGGGAATCTGCCATTGAACTTGAAGCATTTTCATTCATTGCAACTATGCTCTGCATCCTTTGTGTTTGTTTACGCCTCATTAATCGTGTTCAAGTTATTTTATATTTATAAAACTAGTTAATTATTTGTTTTTTTATAGTAGTTTTAGTTCTTTTTCTAAATTTAAATATAAATTTTCTTTTTGTTACGAGAAATAAAATAATTGAAGGAAATTATCTTAAATAAAATCATTATTATTTGAATCGAATAATTTTTTCTCCCATTTGGAACGTACATTTTATGTTATTTTATGTAGGAATGGAGTGAGTGGCGTAGTTGTTATCTTGTATATTTTATATAGTTTTTCATATTTTCGATTGAAAATTTGTTTTTGTAACTCTAAAATGTTATCTTTTAAAATTGTATTAATTTGCCCTCAAAACATAAAATTATATTTCCCCGTCCATTGTATATGTATAATATATTTTAAATTTGCAACTCTAAACTAATACATTGAGAGGAAAATACACTTGTCCTTTTTCATTCTTGGTTGTTTTCACTAATATGATTAATTATTCTAATTATTTGGACATTTATGGTAAGATAATTATTTGGTATATTATTAATAGAAAAATTAATTTTATAATTATCCTTGAGACAATGATAAGTATATTTATAATATATTTTAAAAAAATTAAAAGCAAATAATAAAACACCTGTCATCGTCTCAATTGTGTTGTGAGATTATTTTTCTTCAATAACGGTACATCAAATAATAATTATATAAACCAACAAAAGTTGGTTCAAGTGTATGCATAAAATTTATGTTGTGAGACTCACATGTCAAAGTTAGATGTACGAGCGAATCAGTCTATATTAGTCAAGACGAAACTTTAAAACCAAGAGGGCAACAAAAAATATTATTATTATTATTATTATATAAGATATTTTATATTTATACTATGAAATTTATGATTAATTGATATCATTCGAGTTTCAATTCAATTAAAAGTTTATTAATATATTTTTGTTATAAAATAAAAAATAATTAAAAATAACGGGATTAACGAGAATGTATCTAAATTTTTATCATTCCATTCATATTTATTTGTTGAATAAATTCTCATAAATATTTTTTATAAAATATATTTTATTTTGTAATTCTCGAAGAAAATTAACCAAAAAAAATCTAATTAGTTTGACGTAGCTTTGTATACGATACTATTTTTGCAACAGATTCGAACACTTAGATATGTACAAACAAACAAACAGAGGATACACATTTAATGGAATTAATGTGAGTATAGAGAAAGTAAAAGTTTTCATCATCATCATCATACCACATTTTCATAAATAATTATAATTTTCATCACATAAGCTAATCGCCATACTAGAATGAAGGTACTGAAAGTATAATCCCCAAACAATGAAAGTTTAATTGGTCGATTTTCTTTCTTGAAATTGTTTGTTTGGCCATCGGTTTAAGCACCGCATCAACCATTGTTTTATCATTTGTAAAAGCAGCACATGAAGATTCAAGCCATTAGATTATATCCATTAAAACATGGTAGGAAATTACATTTTAGGAAGTTACCTGGCGCAGTGTTACCAAATGCTGCATAATCGACTACTTCACACAGTAGATAGAACATGTTAGTCACCAGGACATCAACGGAGGTTGCCTTTTTCATGGATTCATTTTTCAGTGGACTTGATTTCGGTGTACCCTGCAATTCCATGAATAGTGACAAATGAATAGAGCTCAACAATAAAAACCATGAAATTCTTAGGATATGCATCAAAAGCAAGGAATCATATGCTTTTAGAACAGAAAATCAACTTTGATATGCATTAGATACAAGATTTACATGTTTCTCTTCTTCAGCAGAACCAAACATTTAAACAAAAAAAGAAAAATTCAACAAAACCAAACATGATACCAGAAACATAAAAAAGACATGGATTCATAAACAACACTACAGGACAAATACAAAACTCAGACAATAATCTTTATGTTACTCACCTTAGCAATGAATAATAGTGGGCTTGTAGTCAAATACAATGACCTTGTCCAAGTTGGGCAGGAACACGTTTGCAAATTATATTATGCACTCCCTTCAGTGCTATAAAATGTAGATTGAAACACGAATGAAACCTTGATGCATGTTCTCAGTCCTAACATCCTTGCCCCTGTTTCCATGAAAATTATTATTTTAGCACCACGCCAACCATTATTCTATGATTTGTAAAATCAACACATGAAGATTTAAGCCACTGGATTATATCAATTAGTATTAGCAAAATTGGTACAACTAAGAAGTTTTGACAAGGGTTTTCATGGGACTAAGATCCAAAGTAAAACCAATGATCCAACCTTAGCAATGAATAATAGTGGGCTTGTAGTCAAATACAATGACCTTGTCCAAGTTGGGCAGGAACACGTTTGCAAATTATATATTCTGCACTCCCTTCAGTACTATAAAATGTAGATTGAAACACGAATGAAACCTTGATGCATGTTCTCAGTCCTAACATCCTTGCCCCTGTTTCCATGAAAATTATTATTTTAGCACCACGCCAACCATTATTCTATGATTTGTAAAATCAACACATGAAGATTTAAGCCACTGGATTATATCAATTAGTATTAGCAAAATTGGTACAACTAAGAAGTTTTGACAAGGGTTTTCATGGGACTAAGATCCAAAGTAAAACCAATGATCCAACCTTAGCAATGAATAATAGTGGGCTTGTAGTCAAATACAATGACCTTGTCCAAGTTGGGCAGGAACAGTTTGCAAATTATATATTCTGCACTCCCTTCAGTACTATAAAATGTAGATTGAAACACGAATGAAACCTTGATGCATGTTCTCAGTCCTAACATCCTTGCCCCTGTTTCCATGAAAATTATTATTTTAGCACCACGCCAACCATTATTCTATGATTTGTAAAATCAACACATGAAGATTTAAGCCACTGGATTATATCAATTAGTATTAGCAAAATTGGTACAACTAAGAAGTTTTGACAAGGGTTTTCATGGGACTAAGATCCAAAGTAAAACCAATGATCCATTATCACCCCCAGAAAACATTTATGGTAGTAGTTAGTGAAAAGGGATAGCATAGCATACCAATGGATTAAGAAAAGGTGTAAGAAAATTGAACAAGAAATGCATAAAACAAACATCGCTGAAGTAAAAGTACCTATAGTTCCCGTCATTATATTATTATCACACGGTACTGTGATTTCTATAGAGTTCATAATTTCCAAGGTTAAGATCCACCTTTAATCAAATGCACAAAAACATCATCATCATCATCGAAGTTCGATCGAATATTGGTGTGCCAAGAAAAAGGAGAAGAAAAGAAAAGAATCTTACCGTCATCATCAATGACAAACAATTCACCATGCTCAAAAGGACGACATCATCGAAAAGCGTCGTGAGGTGGATTCAAGGAGGCGGTGCGAGATCGATTTAGAAGGGTAACAGATGAAAGAACAGAGGTCATCGATGGTGGCTTGAAATGAGATGATTGAATGACACGATTGCACCAAGAATGATGGAACGACGAAAGATCATTTTTCTGGTGAATGCAATCTAACCAACAACGCTTGGTTCGAGAACGAAGGTGGGATTCGCCGTTGACGGCACGAACGGCGACGACCAAAAGGAGAAGGGAGGGTTAAGTTTGGTATACTCTGTCTTCATAAATACTGCATTAAGGTTAGAGCTATTTTATTAGAATTTTATTAATTTCAAACAAATATGGGTAATTTTCAAATAAATTTTAAAAATTTGAAGATAATAAATAAGTTAACATTTTTATAATTATAAAATATTTTTTATTTTTTTTATAATTTTAATAATTTTTACTATTTTAAATATATTTTGAAATTTTCACACAAAAAATAATTTAACATTTTCTAATTTTAATATAGTTTCAAAGTTTTTATATATTTTTAAAGATTTTAAAATAAATTTTTAAAAGTTTAGATATACCATTGGACATCACTAGAATGTATCATGTAGTATACTTTGGTGCTGTCCAATGGTAGATAACTTGACAATGTAAAGATTTAACAATCAAAATTGGTTAAAGGGGTTAAATAATGTAAGTTTTATAGAACACTCAACATGGAAAAAAATTAGTATGAACCATTGCAATTACAAGTTTAAAATTAAAAAAAATATCAACTCTAAACATTAAGCGAAACATTGACATTATGTCCTTTAAAATCTTCCTATAAAATATAAAAGACGTAACAATGAGTGACAAATAATTTCTTTCGTCACGTTAAATATTTTTTTGTGGCAAGAATAAAACGTCACCTTTATATATCTTCTTAAATATGACGAATCAATTTATCTTGAATAAGATTAATTGGTGACAAATTTGTAATGTCATTAATTCAAATTAAATCGTCATAATAATAAATTGTCACTAATACTTCCATTTTATTGGTGATGATTTTACAACGTCACCCTTTTTTCTAAACGTCGATGAAATATTTCTCACGAATTTTTTTTGGAGGAAAATTTTAGCTCCAAACATATAGTGACGAAAATTAATGACTTTTATTATAATCGTCATAGAATACATACTATTAAGAACTATATGTGACGAAAACAATAAATCTTCACATTTATAGTATATTTTGTGACGTTATACACAACGCCATATAGAAATTTCATCATAAATTGATAAATTTGTTGTAGTGCGGGGTGCCATAGCCTAATAGCTTAGCTATCAATTGTAAACTTTATTTTTTTCCTGTAGGGGTTGTTGAAGCAGCTGCCATGGCTATTTCTGCAAGCTTCTGCAAGTTCAGCTTCACAACAGTATCCACAAACATCTTAGTATCCTCTTCAGTGTTCCCTTGGGGTATCTCCACCGTGTAGGACTCCAAAACAACACTATAAACCTTCCCTCCATCTTCTTTAAACTCGTTAACCGATGTAACAGCTCGATAATTATCCAGCCTATGATCTCCTCCGACAACCCTAAAGCTCAAAACATGTTCACTATCGTCTAATACCTCTAGTATCTCGGTGCTCGTTGATGCCGGTAAGCCCGAGATGATCTCGACCTCTCTTACGCTCCCGACTCCCCCGTCTCCCTTCATTGTGCTACTCTTGACAAAGTGCTTGTACTTGTTAGGGTTTCTGAAATCACGTACGATTGGCCATATGAAGGTTAGAGGAACGTTTACACGTTGTGTTAGCAAAGACGTGCATGTGTTTGGGGATGAAGGAAAGGCATGGTAGGTCTTGATGATGGACTCAAGCTTTGAGGTTTCCTCTTGGGTTAGAACATTATTGGAAGAAGTGGAACTAGGGTTCATGAAACAAGAGATGTGTTATTTTCTTTGGGAACTCTTGATGAGAAAGAGATAATCTTTATATGGTATAGCTTGTTTTATTTATCTACTGATAACGTGTCATGCGTTATTATATGATTTATTGGTGTATCGTGAAAACGTATAATTTTTATAATGGACGGTTACGATGAATTTGACGTAAACAAAATTTCCATTTTCTTCGTCGAACAATGTTGAAAGGGTGAAGTTGTAGCATTTTTCGTGTAATTGAAATTATTATTTTGGTAGGGAAAAAAGGGAATAATATACATTACATGAATCTGGGAAAGATATTTCGGTTACTTCAAGTATTTTGCTAAAATTTCCATACCAAATTAGTTGTATTGTTTACATAATATTTTCTTTAAATGGTATGTAAACTTTTAAGAAAAAAATTATATAAAGGGGACTGACCAAGTTCACATATATAGAGAGGGGATGGAATCCGGTTATATCATATAATTTTTTTTAGTTTTATACCGATTTAAGATAGATACCATAAATCAAGCGACTTCGGTGGTTAAACGTATTATTATTATTTGTAGAGGTTTCGAGTTTGAATACATTATCTACTTGGATGTTTGAACGTTTATTATCAAATGATTAAGATTTTTTTGAACATATACTACATTGTAATTATTTCATATTAATAAAAAAACTGTAAGTGGATGCTCGAAGACTTGCAGAGTTTTTTTTTTTTTGAATAATTAAAATTTTTTATTACCCAAAATCAACCAGTACAACATTAAGATACAAAGAAACGGAGCGAAATAAGCAGTGATCATCCAACACAAAAACAAAGATCACCCTATATTCCAATTCCTAGAAAGAGTAATATTAACATTGTCATTACAATTGAATTTCCTATTGCTTAAGTGTAGTCCAATTATATCTCTGATTGTATGGAATAATTCTTGAGCATTCTTGGATCTACCTTGGAACATTCTCTTGTTTCTTTCATCCCATAGTAAGTAAATAGTAGCATTAAAAGATAACTTTAGAATAAGAGTGAGCATTGATTTGCCTTTCCAAGCATTGGAAGCCCTTGCACAAAAAGCGTCCCACGGGCAAGGGAAGAAGTGAAGTCCCGAGAGAGAAAAAACATTTTTCCAGATTGAATTAGCCATAGGACAGAGAAGAAAAATATGGTCCCTAGTTTTCAAAGGCTCATCACAGAAAATACATTTGCAGTCAGTGATTAGTCCCATACAGTTTAGTCATTCTCTTGTAGTAAGCCTATCAAGCAAAGCCATCCAAGATATTAAACTATGCTTAGGAATGTGCATAGGAAACCAGACAATTTTCTGCCAAGGAACAATAGCTTTCTTGACTCTAATGGCATCCCAAACTGATGTCATTGTTAAGACTTGCAGAGTTTCAGTTGGCATAGTCGATAGTTTTATTATTTTTAATATGCTTTATTTTATATCTTGATTTATCTTATATTTTATAAAATTTATTGAAACAAAAAAATATTTCACATAATTTTATATACATTATTATAAATTTTATATTCAAAACCTTAATCTAATTTTCAAAAATGAAATTACAATACATTCAAATATATATTAAAGTTAGAGTTAAATGTGCATGTCTTCAAAATATGACCCTCATTTTAAATTAGTTCTTAAACTATTAAATGTTTCAGTTCTATCTCTAAACTATGATTATCATTCTAAATTAGTCTTTAAACTTTTGAGCATTTCAATTTCATCCCCAAACTATGACATTCATTCTAAATTGGTCCCCCAAACTTTTTGAATATTTCAATTTTATTCCAAACTGTACATATATACTAATCACATCTCTTGTTAATAAAATCGTTAGGTCAAGTTATATTATTATATGTTTGAAAAAAATAAAATTTAGGTTAAGCTATGGTTGAAATTAATTACATATTTGAATAAATTTGGGGGTGAAATTTGAAGATTCAAAAGTTTTGGAACCAAAATAGAAAGAGGGTCATAGTTTAGAGATAAAATTAGAATGTTCAAAAGTGTAAGGACTAATTTAGAGTAAGAGTCGTAGTTTTGAGATAAAATTGGAATATTCAAACATTTAAGGACCATTTTAAAATGAGAGTTATAGTTTGGGGACATATGATGAATTAACCCTTAAAGTTAAGAGGAAATGAGGGAATTGAAACCTCTTAAATCAAGCTGACTAAATGTAGCTCACAACTTTAATTATTATTTATTGGTTTTGATGGCACATAGCATCTCGTATAATGTGGTGTGGAATTTCATTTGCTTTAATTATGTATTAATATATAAACATGTCCTAATAATAAAATTATATGTTGATGATGATTTGCCGAAATTTAAAAGTAAAAATGAATTTCGATTGAAGCACAAGTTGATCATCGTTAATTTGTGTTTTCAAATCAACAGAGATGTTGAGGTCTGTTTACATATTTTTCTTAAGACAAATTCGATCGTTCTTACAATACTTAAAAAACGTTGACCGACTATCTCTACTCTCCCAATATACAACGAGATAAAAACTGCAAAGTTTGTTCATCTTTGAAAACTCAAAAAGTGTAGGGTGGAGGGTTGATAGTTGAGGAAAGAATTTGTTGAAATTGATGTGTATTCATGGAAGGGATGGTGTTACAAAAGATGAATGTCTTGGAGAAGAAGAATTAAAGGGAAAGATTGATATTTTAACTGTTTAAATCACCAAATTTTGCAGTACCAGCTCACATGCAGAGCTTGTATTTGTCTTCACAACAATTTGACACTCCTAGCTTTTGGAACCGTGGATCAGTTTCTTACATCCTATTTTACTGACAATAAAAGCACAAACAACAGCAAACATCAACATTGGGTACATTTGTACAGATTTTGTGGGGGATGTGCCATGGAATTGTCCCAGAATGTTTTCTCTTACAAGGCCCCATATTATAAGCATAGTCCCAAACAGGCTCATTCTTCCCCTCCTTGACATATCTGCAAAAGCTCCCACCACAGACAAGCAGCTTCCTGCAACAATCTGATGGAATCCAAGAGTTGGGATATTGGTGCCTATCTAATTACAGATTAATTAAGCATTGCATATGAGTCCTTAAACCGACCTCGAGGCTCTGGAGATCAGATACATCAGTATATTTCCTCAGACTGGTGATGTTATATAAGTTGAGCAATTTGCCATAACTTGGAATGGTGTTGCTTTTGATGATGGCATTGGTAAAAGCCCTTGGATATAGAAGGACCTTGACTAAATATGCGAGGAGGAGTTCACTAGCAATCTACTGAAAGGATGTTATCTCAATTGAAGTTCTGCAGATTCCAAATCTACATGGTACCCTGTAGAATTAGACCACAAATGTCAACAATTACTTTGATTTTGGCATATTTAGACAGATTCCCATACATATTTTATCAACTGCGATAAGAACTTTAAAAGGGTTTTCAGATTTTAAATGTCAGAGTTCCAAGCAATAATGGTTAAGCAATAGAACTCCATTGTTGCACTAAACTTTCCAGATGGCATGGAATGTTCAGATTCTAGGAAATAGTATTTTAAAAAAGGATCTTTTCTTTTATGTTTTTACCAATGGATGATCATAAAAACTACCAATGCATTATTGCAAGGGTGAAAACAAAGGAGTGGGGTGAAATGCGAAAAAATTTACCTGAAAAGAGGGTTTTGGAAGATTATGAGTAGGAAATACATGACAGAAGCAATGGAGGAAATGGTTTACGCATTTCTTTGAAGAAGCCATTGGAGGAGTCCCCCAGGAAATGGGAAGGAAAATGAAAAGAAGAGAAAAAACGAAGAGAGCAAATAGGGGAAAATCATGGGGTCATTTTGTTCACTCGTTTTTACATTTCCTTTTTGCTGTACTTGTCTTCGTTCCAATTTCATTAATAAATCTAGAAAATCAACAACCCTAATGGGTGTACTTATATTGATAATTTTGTATATAACTACATGATAAAAAAACTAAAACCGGACTTTTATTTTAAATAAAAATTTTAGACTTTTTTTCAAATAATCACTACTCTTTCATACATGGGTTATTCTTTTCTAATCTTTTTTCAAATCCCTTACTCTGATTATTAAAATCAATTACCATGAAAGAATCTAGATAACTTCATTTGTATCATCCATAAGGGGGGGAAAAGGCTTGTCCTTTTTCTTCTTGTTCAAGTTACATTTGCCAAGAGCTAAAACGAACATACAAAGAATTAACCAACAGGTCTGGTAACAGGATTCTTTAGTGGCAACTGAATCGATATATTAGTATCGAATTTGAAACACCTTTATTCTGGAGCAGAGGGAAAAGACATGGTTGATATACCTCTTTCAGGTTCAGCCTGTCAACTCCTCCATTAAGCCCTATTGATACAAGGAAAGTAATGGGAAGTCAGTAAAGATGCAGCAGTTGTTTGTCATGCTACAAGGTAACAAACTCGAAAATGCTACGCACCCGTGCAATGTATTGCTCAGCATCAGTTCGTTTGAGAAAGTGCATTGAATGACGAGCAAAATTGGCAGATTTATCGCTGAGAATTATTCCGCTACCTAAATCTTCAAGCACCCTTACTTTGATGTAGGGATCTTTTGGAGGCACCATATCCTGACAAACCAAGGACATTAGCCATTGCAATATAGTTCACAGTGACAGATGTTTTATAATGCTTTCTGAGCGAGAATAAAACCTGTATGGTGGAAGACCAATCAATTCTTGTTTAACTACTTGCAGTTATTTGCTTAAATTCAGTTTAAGACATAAGTTATATGTAAAACCAAGTCACCAACAACGGCTCCGATTTTAAATTTTAATCAAAGGTTTGCATAAGAGAAGAGACCTTACCACATTCACGTCAAGGCTCAGTTGTGACATGTATAATTTCAAAGACTTGGAATGATCTTTGAAATACTGTTCCTCTGAGTCACTGAACTTCTCCTGAATTTCAGGTGGAAGTTCATGAAGTAACCCTACCTTCCATGCCAAATCTCTTAGAATTTCTGCACGATTGTACCTGTAATTGAAATTAGTAGGTGATGTTAGAAACTGCATCTCAAACTGTAAACAAGCAGGAATCAGTTTCTTTAGGAAATAATGACAGAAAAAGTATGACAGACTTACACATATGCCATTAGGCATCGCTTGTTGCGAATTAGAGAAAGGTGGTGGATGAGTGATCCATAGTGGTCTGCAGTTTTAGCTGTTTGGACTTCCAGTCCCTCCTCTTGCATTTTCCTATTATAACATAAATCACACTTAAGGGGCTGAAATTTCTGTGCAACTAAAATTTGGTACTAAGCTCTAAACCCAACCAAACTCCCCAAAATAAAATAAATAAAAGAGGCATCTCAAGGAGTCCATTGTACGGTCTGAGTTTAACCAAAAACTCTGCAGAGAATATTTCATTGATGTCACTTCTCTACCTCAAGCTCTAGTACAAATTCATATACACAACTTACTGCAATCATATGAATAGAATTGAGAATATAGTTGAACTTAAAGTCTACCGGTTAACACAAATGCTACATTAAAGTTCTAGCAACCATCAATTGTTACCATTTGATATCCCATTTTAAGACAGTTCCAAAATATACAGAATCAAATCAGTGGTTCAGGTGCTGGAAGACACTTGGAGCATGGAGGTTTAATCAGATGCTGGTCCATTGACTAAAGAATTGACAAGGCAGCACCACCTAGTTCCAGGAGATATAGTTACAAGAAGAGGGGGTCGAGGAAGGACAAACAAAACAAAAGGCTAAAGAAGCAAAATTGCATCAAGAAATTACCTTATTAATGACTCGAGTGCATTATGATGTTCATTGCATTCTTCAATTACTCTCTCAAACAGCTCATTCTGCAAGATCTCATTTCATGCAACAATTAGAAAAAAACACTCGGCACATATCAACTTACACACAGCTTCGACAGCCAGTGGCCAATGCACACTATGTTCAGAATAGGCAAGTACTCAACCTGAAATTTGAATTTTCTTCTTTTAGTTATTCATTTTACTCATTGTGCCCAGCCTGAGATTTTATTTGTGCCCATCCACATAAAAAATGTGTTGTCAATATATGTGTGACCAACCTCAAAAATATTTCTTGTTCCGTCGCTGTGACAACATATCAACAAGTATAATGAAGTAGGGATTGAAAAGCTTTACCAATAAGAGGGGGAGCTGGGACAGGAAAATCAAAAGGAAACAAATCTGGATGTATTCGAAAAATGGAACCTTTTCAAGGAAAATCCTCGTGAAAACTGATAAATACAAGTATTCGTCCAGCATTTCACTTAGGAAACAGAAAATATTCTCAAATTTTGAGCTTTCGTGCTGGTAGGTTGTGTCATTATACAAAAAATCCGGAATATACAATGAACACGTAAAGAACATATACATAATACTAAATTACTAAGAATTTAACAATCTACAAAACTTGATCCTCGAGGACTTCACAGAGTTAACGGTACTTTCGGAAATAAACAGCCAACCTTCAGATATATTAGAACTGGAGCAAATAGTACATTGATGGACACCTAAATTCAAAGAGAATCAATGAACCCACCGAGCAATTTTCCAATTATATCATAACTATATTTGTTCATCTCTGAAACATTAAAATGTAAACTAAAAAGCGATTTCCACATAAAATTGCGCAAGCCAGTAGCCTTACATTGAAAATCTTGAGATGCCCTTTTTCACCAGTAGAAAACTCTTTCACCAGCTCGTACGCCTTTCTTCCGTGCATCTTCTGAATATATAAAATTCCAACCTTTCAATTATATACTTACCTTCAAAACCGAAATTATCTTTGAGATATTTCACCGAACAGGTTGCGCAATCTTTTTTCTTTAAGGTATATACAAGTACAAATGATTATGCTCCAAGAATAGCGTGAACATAGAAAAAATAGTTGGTGAAAAGTTTGGAAAACAGTTAAAAAATGCGTTTGCGTGGAAAATTGAAACTTTGGGAGGTGAGAAAGTGAAGATAAATACAGAGTTCTGTTTGGATCTAAAAGCATGGTGGAGGTTTTGGCGGGTGATTTTAGCGCCAGTGGGGCTTTTTTCACTTTGCCGCTTATAGTGGACCTAATCGACAAAATTTTTAATTCAATGGTCAAAATAGAATTGAGCCAGTAATTTAATGATGTTCGAGGTAGCCTACCCAACTTCCAAATTGTAAAGGACAAAAACAACAAGGGCAAGCTAGTTTGTTGTCATAATCAATGAGTCCTTCTCCTTTATTTTCCTTTTTGATTATTTGAGTAATCATGGCACGACATATCATCAATTACATTGCAAAACATGCTTTTCTTTTAATAAAAAATAAATAGGTGTTCAATTATAATGTTGTTAATAATGTGATGATCAATGATGATAAGGACAATTGAGGAGGATAGAGAGATATTGACGAAGCTTTTGGACCTTTTATCATATTCCATTGTTTTTCTTTATATATAATCATTATTGAGGTTTGGCCACCAATTTTCAACATCCCAAATAGTTAATACATTATAATATATTCCTAAAAAACAATATAATACATTAAAGGTGAGTTTGGTTCACGGAATGTAAGATTACCAGTAGGAATAAAAGATTACCAGGGAATATGATTACTGGGAATGTTGTATTTTGTGTTTGGTTGGTTTAGCAGGAATGTAAGATTACCGTGTTTAGTTAAAGGAATAAAAGATTATTGGAATGTATATTTGATCAAATTGTCTTTATTATATATATTTGTATAATATTACAAATTGTAAAATATTTATATATTTTATTTAAAAAATTAAATTCATAATATTTATATAATTTTTTTACAAAATTAAAAATATAAAAAAGGTTTAATGAAAGGGTAAAAAAAATTTTAACCCCTGAACTTCATATAAAATTTTAATTATAGATTTTTTTTTGTAAATCTAAAATAATTTAAGGATAAATTTGTAATTTAACATTCGTAGAATTTTTATTATTCAATGACAGAAGAATGATGTTTTTGGAAAAAATAAAAATTTAAGGGCATTTTAGTCTAAAACGTCGGTAATGTTACAATACCTAAGGGAATGGAGTTAATGGCATTCCCGGTAATATACCCAAAAAAATCTACTATTGGTAATAAAACATTACCGGGAATGAGATTCCCGGTCAACCAAACATGGGAATGTGAGATTCTCATCCCATGGGAATCCCACAATGCTTGAACCAAACACCCCCTAAGTATGCACATGGATTTCATAGTGGTAGAGCGCAAGGCTCTTAACCTTGTGGTCGTGGGATCGAATCTCATGGTGGGCAATTCATAATTTTGACTGCCGGAGGTCTCCCGCGGAAGTTGCTCTCAACCTGACGTTAGGGGCAACCTACTATCCTACCTCCCTCTTATTTCATTACATCTGAGAATAGGATAAACTAATTTTTATGGATTTCATAGATTGGTATAGGAATAATCAATTTCATAAAACATACTAAATAACAAATTTGATAATACTTTATTTTAAATAATTTAGTGTGATTATAAGGTAGTATGTTCAGAACTTTTTTAAAATTTATTGACAACGTACACACATTCTGTAAATACAACTATTCAAACTTGAATCATATAGTGAGAAAATATTTTCTTTTATCACTGAGAACAATATGTTTCATTGATTATAATTGAATATCAGTCTCAATATTTGTAATCATCTAAAGCTTCAAACATTTTTTGGTACCAAAGCATGACCATGATAAGGCCATGGAAAATGCAAACGTAGGTGTTGGAGAAAAGGCGAGCAAGTGTGCCTATGAACTGGCTGGAACCAGAATGCACATAGCCCTACAATATTTATGTGGCATACTCATCACCACTCTTATAAGGTCAATCAGTTCCATCCTTTATTCTTTTGACCTGTTTGCCAATACATTAAATTTGGTGACCTAATCAATCTCTAAAGACTAAAAGCCACATTGCCGCTATCAACTTTTGGTTTTTACGCTGAAATTGTCACACCCATTACCAAACCTTTATTTCTACTTCAAAATTTTCAATATGGAGGTTGCTGGTGCAGTTGTTGACGATCGAGTATTTATTAAGATGCATGTATATATTGAAGGATGAAGTGAAAAATTAAATTATAAAATGTTTAGAGAGAAAAAATAATATTGTATTACTTTAATCAGAAAACATCTAAACAAAAATTTATCGTTGAACGTTTTAGTTTTATATTTTTCAATCTCTATCATTTTTTATTGGATGTAGTCCGAAAGAGATATTATTATCCGTCTCAAGAGGACTATTTGACTTGTTATGGCACACCTAAAAACATTTTTGCATGACAAATACGATAGAATCGAAAAGAATGGAGGATGAGTCGTGACAATCAAGGGGACTATTTGACTTGTTATTCGAGGGAATTATTAATCAATCATAGTGGCGGATGTAAAATTTTTAATATTATTTTTCAATAAAATGAGTATAATTTTTTTTTACTCCCCTTAATATATTGAACTATATTTAATCATTTATCCAAAATATTGAATATGCATTTGATCCCCTAGGGGCCAAGTGCATCTGCCTCTCATCGCCAAGACACAAGGATGATCGAGTAGTGTGTAAATATAGAATGATTAAAGGAACTAAAATTAAATATTTTTGAGTGCGGTGGTAAGATTGTGACTGTGGATGATGGTCGGTATACTATGATAAAATGTTTGAAAAAGAATATGAGGTGGTCAACATATGATTTTTACATTAGCAAACAACCAACCTATGTTAAATGAAAAATCAACCACATCATCTTGTTGTTTCCGATTTAATACATGAATTACTAAATTAGGAATAATGTCAAATTGAATGACAAAATTAAAATTTTAAATTTTAATGACTAAAATAAGAATGATGAGAAGAATGAATGATGAAATTTATAAATTATCCTTAAATTTTACATTGAAAATAACTCTAGAATGAGTTTAATTTGAATTTAAATTTAAAAATTTATTTAAAACAATCAGATGAAGGTTTCTCTCTATTATCTTAATCTAAATTTTCTTTCAATGTTTTTGTATTGTATTTCTCTTTTCCTTTTATTTTTGTTTAACCGACGACGACACCGATCTTAATATTAGTTATCGATTACTGGTGATTATTATTATTTTTTCATAATATGCTCTTTGTTTTCCTTTTTTCTCGAGTTTTTCAAATTTAAATAAGAATATTTGTCTTTCTGACACACTTTTCTCTGATTTTGTGATACATTTTTTTCCGTTTTTGTGATATGTTCCTTATGACTTTTGTACGTTTCTCGCATACCTCTATGGTTGTGTTGGTGCTTGCACAAAGACCCTCATGATATTTATTTTCTGATTAGTTTGTCGGTGGTCACGTATTATCATATCCTTTCTTTGGTAAAAAAATATTTATCGATATAATCAGAACTGTGTAGTGAAACAGTCTACCAAATTATTTGGTTCACTCACCACTCATTTATCACTTCGTAAAGCGTCTCATTTGATAGAGACAAAAAATTTTATGAAGATTACTGGTTCTTTTGATGTTGAACGTCATTTTCAATAGAATATTTCGTTTTTCTTTTCATCTTTAGGCTTAATACTTTTGTTTTATATGTAAAATTTTATTTTAAAGTCCTTATTTTTCTCGCTATATTTGAGTATGTTTTAGTTTTGATTCATTCAATTATTTTTACTAATAAAATTCAATTTTCATTATAAAAAATATTTAAAACAAGACATATTTTGACCATCAAAACTATATAAACTTATTTAATATCAATATATTAAATATAATCATGAAATTTTAAAGATATATTTTATATTTATTCAATAATTAACATTTTAACAGTCCCCTCTGCCATTAACGGTAAGATTCGACAGAAGAAAAATATTTATGAAAAAATATGGAAATGTTGACTGAGTTGCTTATTATAACTTTTCTTCCTTAACCGAATCTTCCAGATTTATCTCTCTATATATCCACACATATATACAGAGAGTTCTTTACAACAAATTAAAGGAAAAAGAGAAGAAGAAAAAAACCCATTGTTTTTAGTTTCATTAAAGAGAGAAAAAGATCCAGTAAGGGCTGCCATCTGCGATGGCCGGTCTTCAAAGATCTGCAGTTTCTTTTAGAAGGCAAGGGTCTTCAGGGATTGTTTGGGACGACAAGTTTTTATCGGAGTTAAGCCAAATGAAACCAGAACAACAAGAAGGAGAGACCAAGCAAGAAGAACAAGGGCCGGCGCAAGACAAGGATAACAATAACCCAGAAAAAATCGATGTCGTTAAGGATAGTAAGCCGACAATTGCTCCCATCAACACCACCGTCGAAAGAAGCCGATCTAATGGCGGTGAAAGACGAGGTTACCGTACTGGTAAGGTGTGCCCTGCTATTGACCCGCCTTCTCCAAAGGTTTCAGCTTGCGGTTTCTGCAGTGCTTTTGGGAAACAAAGCAAGAAAAATGGTAGGAAAAAGCCTGGTAAGCGTAGATCAAGATAGTTTTTTCTTTTCGTTCTCATGTATTTTCCGGTGACCGGAATTGCAAATTCCTGCGAACTTGAATGGTAGTTCTGGGTATATTGATTTATGTATTTCTTAGGTTGTTTCTAGAGAGATTGAAGCTTAAATTGAAGTCCATCTATATGAAAACAGAGATGAATGTTGGGTGTTTAAAGTCTTGAATTTTTGTGTGTGTTAATCTTCTTTACTTGTGTTTCATAAAATGTGAATCGTGTGGATATGTAAATTAAACTAATCTTAAGGCATTGATTTGATCTTTACAGAATAAGAACAAAATTTATCTTTTGTTGTTCCTTGGAGATTCTTTCTTTTTTCTTTTGGGATGGGAAAATATAGTTGTACTAAAAAACAGGTTTCAGATTTCTGGGATGTCTGGTTTTCTGTCTGAATTTGTTGGGGGGGGGGGGGAAGGTGAGCTTGCAAGGGAATATTTCCTGTTTGGGTTTGGCAGAAAATGTAGGGATCATCAAACAGTGGGAGTGTGTTGATTCCTTTTGCATTCATTAAAGTTGGAATAGTTTCCTTTAAATTCAACCATCTCCACTGCTTAGGAAAGGACTAGGTATAGGGTTTGTTGAGACATGTATGTGAATTATCATCAATCCTATCTCTAATAATCAAGACGCTCTCTCAGTAATTTTTATTAACAGTATTATAAGATAATATTTTTTTTAAAATTTTATTAATAAATTGATAACACACTCTTCAACTTTAAAATTTCGGAAAAGAACAATATATTTTTACCTTTAAGATCACTTGATGGTTCAGTCTATAAATAAATAGTTTTATCTGAGTTCTCAAACACATTTTCAGATCAACAATATTTAAAACATATCATTTAGATCCAATATAATATATTAACATCATCAACCTATTATATATTATACAATTTAGCATTGATGTTGTTATGAATTGTCATATCAATATGGTTGATTAACATATTAACACTGTAATGATTAATGATGCATTTCATTGATGAAAAATTAATATTTATTTTTTTTCTCTTAATTTAAAAAGAGAAAATCGCCTCAGTGACCAAAAATACCTTATAATATACGATTTTAACCAATTTTTTTTAGATTTGCCAAAATGACCAATAAAATCGCAACGCGATATCAAAATCGCAACGCGATTTAGAAAATCGCAACGTTAAAAAGAAAATCGCAACGGTCAAAAGAAAATCGCAACGCGAGCTTCCAAGTTCGCAACGCGATTTAGAAGAAAATCGCAATGCGATTGATTGAATCGCAATGCGATTGAGAGAGTCGCAACGCGATTTAGAAGAGAATCGCAATGCGACTGAGAGATTCGCAATGCGACTGAGAGAATCGCAATGCGACTGAGAGAATCGCAATGCGATTGAGAGAATCGCAACGCGATTTAGAAAATCGCAACGGTCAAAAGAATAGTTAAAAAAATTTTGTTTCTTAAGAATTTTCTCTAAAAAGATAGTATCCGCGCGGACGTGTCGAAGACACGTATTACCACGACCACGACCACGACCACGACCACGACCACGACCACGACCACGACCACGACCACGACCCGACCCGACCCGAGACGAGACGGCGGCGGCGGCGGCGCAAAAGAGTCCCCCTTGTCCTCTTTCACTCAACAAGGAAGTGCAAAATACAAGCCTTAAATACCATTCCCAATAGTATTTCCAATACTATGTGGGATTGAGCATTACCAACACTTGTTCCAAATATCATTATTCTTCATAAGTTATCATCCATTACAATATGAATTAGTCGTGTTAATGAACCAATATACCTCATTAATATATGGTATTGTTGAACAAAAGAATGATGATGATGATCTTATTAAAGACCATCTAATACGAAAGAATCCAATGCATAACCGATACCTTATTGTGAAACTAATTCACATAGAGGTTGTACGTGAAAAAAAAATCTTTTACTTTTATAGTAAATATCTATCTCAATAATTTTAATATAAAAAATATATTTTTTATTTAATAATAGAATTATTTCATGTATTTATCAAGTTATAATTTTAAATACTTATTAAAATGAATTAATTTATTATCGATAATTCATATTGTAATGGATGATAACTTATGAAGAATAATGATATTGGGAACAAGTGTTGGTAATGCTCAATCCCACATAGTATTGGAAACACTATTGGGAATTATATTTAAGGCTTGTATTTTGCACTTCCTTGTTGAGTGAAAGAGGACAAGGGGGACTCTCGCGCGCGCCGCCGCCGCCGTCTCGTCTCGGGTCGTGGTCGTGGTCGTGGTCGTGGTCGTGGTCGTGGTCGTGGTCGTGGTCGTGGTCGTGGTCGTGGTCGTGGTCGTGGTCGTGGTCGTGGTCGTGGTCGTGGTCGTGGTCGTGGTCGTGGTCGTGGTCGTGGTCGTGGTAATACGTGTCTTCGACACGTCCGCGCGGATACTATCTTTTTAGAGAAAATTCTTAAGAAACAAAGCGATTTTCTAAATCGCGTTGCAATTCTCTCAGTCGCGATGCGATTCTCTCAGCTCGCGTTGCGATTTTCTAAATCGCGTTGCGATTTTGATATCGCGTTGCGATTTTATTGGTCATTTTGGCAAATCCAAAAAAAGTTGATTAAAATCGTATATTATAAGGTATTTTTGGTCACTGAGACGATTTTCTCATTTAAAAACCATACTAAATACAAAATAAATTTAAGAAATATATTGATTTTCTATTTAAAAAGCTGAGGACTTCATTTACTATTAAACCATTATTTTATTATGAATTTATTGCTTACCATCTTTTCTTATTCTTTCTTCCAAAGCTGAAGAAATTTTGATATCATTTATTTGTCTTTGAAAACAGAGGAGTTGGTAGGGTTCACAAAAAATAGAAATGGGAATTGATCGGAATTCAAATCCAATTAAATTATTAGGATCAATTCCATTGAAAATTGATTGTGTTTAATATGTTATTATCTGTATCATTATTAAATGTTTGAATGAATTTTATATCATGAATTAATTTACCATTAATTCAATTGATAATCTATCGAATTTATTTTTATTTTAAAATACAATTTATATTATTATAATAATATTTTTGGGTATAATCGTTGGTATATTATTTATTAATCGATTAATCCGGACGGATAGTACAGAGATAAAGGTGACCCTCTCAATCAAGTTTGCTACATTCACAAATATCAGAATTTGACATTTTTTTTACCTTAAAGAAATAATATGTCATCCTACTAAACAAACTGGTGAGTACTATAATAATATTTTTTAATGATTCATACTTTCATATACGATTTAAATAAAAAATCAAAACTTATTATGTAATATTCAAATATAAGATTTAAAAACTATACCAACTATTATTATTTATTAATTTTAAATTTTAAATATATTTTTATGTAACGTATTTTTGATCATTCATATCATACAATAAATCAAATATAAAAATTTGGGGCCCGAGACATTAATAGAGATAAGCTTGGTTGGATTGAGTTGAATTTTAGATCACTTCGACTGTGACTCGATTATTGTATTCTTTCACCAAAATATTTGACTTGACCTAACTTTGAAAGAGTTCCATTTAATCGAAATCCAAATTGATTTTTTTGAAATAAAAATCCATCCCAATTCGATATTCAAAAACTATCCCTGAACCCGACCAAGGTTCATTCACACTCATAAAAGCAAACCAAAAGGTCAACCTATTCAAGCCAAAAGAAATTTAGGGATTCAGAACTCATACCTATTTATTTAGGAGAAGATTTTGGAAGGGCGCTAAAGCTTATCATATAACTCATGCTATATTAATATAATAAGTTTAAAATTTTAAAATAGAGTGTAGATACATTATTAATTACTAAAAAGGATTTTAAATATATACTATATTATAATTATTTCATACTATTAAAAAAACAAATTATGTAATTTCATAAGAGGCAAAACTAAAGGATTAAATCCCAAGTGATTGAGTGGGATGGTTTGCCAAAGACTCCATTGTGTCATCTCGCTCACCTGCAATCATCTTCTACAAACGCAAGGGAAAATGACAAATAATAAGGCCAATCTTGCCCTATCTACACATCTTCACTTAAGCCATGTATCCCCTGCTCAAGAGGATAAATGCTATATGTCAAATAATATCATAGTATATGCTTGACACAATAAAGTATTTGAAAAACATATTAATGTAATTAAAATAAAGGGTAAAGTACATAAATGGTCGTCCCCGACTATAGGACATTATTTTGTTGAGTCCATTGACTATTAAAAGTTACAAAATGACCATCCGACTATAGAACGTTATTTTATTGAGTCTTCCGACTATTAAAAGTTATAAAATGATCACCTGACTATTCATATGTTCCAAACTCATCATTTTTGTTATAAAAATTGACGATTTTTTGAGCTGGACGTTAATTTGTTTGACTAAGATATGATAAAATTTGATCTCATAACTATTTGAGTTGTATTTTATGAATCGAATCTCCATTTACATTATACCATCAAACTAGTGCTTTAGACATTATGTCGTCGAGTCAGTGCTTGAAATATAAATTTTTATTTTTAATCAGTTAAATATAAAATAAATAAAATTTGTACCAATTGAATTTCCGAGGACCTCCTTTTTTTACCGGTTGGCTTTGTTCACGGCGTCTTCAACAATGAAAGTGACCTTATCTTTGTTAAAAAAGCCATATTTGGTGTGTAATTTTAAGAAATGATATCAAATATTTAATTAAATAAAAATAGCCACCCTTGTTTCATCATTATATCTTTTTATAGCAAGGGGGTGGGTAGGATAAACCAACCAAAGATAGTGGCCCCCTAAGGTCAATTCCAGATGTGAACACTTCATCAATACATCCATCAATATGGAATGTATCGGAAACTTCAAAGCTTATCACCACATTTATTATTTTTGGGTTTAGGGTTTATTGCCATTGGCATCAAAGTATATGTTGCTAGGTTTGGATTGAGAATGCTCACTTTTTTTTTTATCCATCTGTTATAAAATTATCATTAAACTCTTACTATTATTATAGTATTGCAGTGCTAATTTATAATTTTTAGAATTTTAGTGACCAAAAAGAATTTGATGTCTTTTAAGAAAGATTTCAAGATTAAATTTTATGAACAGAGAAATAGTAGAAAAAGTTTTGCCTCATTTTAAATAAAATCGAAATCTATACGACTATCCGACACAAAGAAATCAGAAAGAAAAAGTGATAAACAAACTTTCGATTCATTATGTTTACACGGTCGAAAACAAAGGTAAATGGCTCTACACGTTTCGACGTCAAGCAAATAAATGTCTTCAAATTAATCTGCTGTAGTGCATGAACAACATAAACCAACTGTTTTTGTGCCGAGGAATGAATACACTACGATTTCCATTCAAATAACTTTTCGAACACAACTTCCATTGCTATTCGAGAGGTGTCCCCAAAGACCGAATTATACTGAAGCCTCGTAAACTAGGTTTTAAGCCTTCGTTTCTTGTGCATGGCGTGCGTGTGTAAAAAAATAAGCTTAACGGGCACCGAGCTTAGGACACCCCTCAGCAAGAGGAAGGTCTAAATTTTCAACAGTTCTGAATGTTCTTGGAACCATCTTATCTACATACAGTGTTCCATCTAAATGATCACACTCGTGCTGCAAGATGCGTGCCTGCCACCCCGAGGCATCTACTTTGATAGGCTGGCCATCACGACCCAAGCCTGTGACCTCAACATCTAGATGTCGCTCCACAACCGCTCTGAATCCATCAACACTGTAAAATGACGGGTAATAAATCATGAGACTTCAATCTGAGGTGATTTAAAGCTGTCGGGTTCTACTGGAAATTTTAAAATCATCAGCACCTCTTTTATGTGACTCATAATTGGTAGTCGTTAAGTTCGTTTAAAAGATGCAACCGTCCATAAATAATTTCATACTACTAGTGACACTATTACGAGATCTAGACTTCGAAAGTTAGTAACACTATTCTCACATGGAGCATACAAGGTAGAAAAGGGAATTGTTAAATATCAAAATCTGCTGCATTTTGGCAAATTCGAGGCAAGAATCATCCAAATCTGATTAGATAATCTAATTTGAAGTCTTAAGGAAACAACAAAGCACATTTCAAGCCTATATTACTAACTTTGTTACTCTCTGACACGGACTTGAGCGAGAAAAGAGAGCATTGACGAGAATTTACATACTCCTATTGTATTGCCATAGTTTTTTTGATAGAAGATGAGGCCTCGTAAAACCCCCCTTTTTTTACCCTCCATGTTATGAAAGTAACATGAAGGGCATTGAAAGGAGGAAAAGAGCGCCTATAATTATATTAAACAGAAGAATAGTACATTGCCAACCCTTACAACAAACAAAACTTCCCAAAAAGCATAAGACTTAAAAACCACTATCAGCTGGACAACGTAGTCACTAATAACATAAGACTGAGAACCAAAATCTGCAGTAACAAAGTGAAACATACACACCAACTCCCCAAATACTAAGGCAGCAAATCAACCTATACTATCTTTAGCTAATCTGTCTGCTTCCCAATTATCAGCCCTCAAGATAAGCCTTAACGTAATGTCCAACCCTTCCATAGTAGAGACTATCTCCTTCACCAATGATTGTAATAAAGGGGTGCCTAATTCCGGATTTTTGATCCACTTCAGCGCGTTGGAAGAATCTGATTCTAAAATAATCCTCTGATTAAGAACCCCACCTAAATCAATAAGCAAACCCAACCCCCTCTTAATCGCCAGAAGTTCTGCCATAATCGGGGGACCTCCCCCAACATTTTCAGCAAACCAATGAATCAACTTACCACTGTTGTCCCTAATCAGGCCTCCTATATCTCCTTTGTTCCACCCCTTCACCATTGCTCCATCAACATTAATCTTTATGAACCCAACTGGAGGAGGAACCCAGCACGAAGGCTTGGATCTTACTTTGTGACTAACCATTGAATCAGCAAGTGTTAGATCACCCACCAGGGAATCGAAAGGAATCTGCGTATCAAAACTAGCAGAAAACCAAGAAACTATTCTAAACCGAGCAATAAAGAACAACAACACCACATCCAACTTCCCTTTCTTAAAAATAACTTCATTCCTAATTTTCCAAACTGTCCACAAGACTGCCCTTGGAATGTATTTCCAAATACTAGAATTCGGTAGAAGCTCGTCCCACTGAGTGATGCAATCTAAGGGTTTATTAGGAATCACCCAAGCAACATCCCACAAATTCAAAAATCTGACCCACAGTCCCCAAGCAACCTCACAATGCAGAAAAAGATGGGAAACAGATTCGCCAAATCTGCCACACAACGGACATAAGGAATCTTCAATTCCAGCCACTCCACGCTTTAACAATTCCTCCTTAACCACCACTCTCAGATGAACTACTTGCCATAAAAAGGTTTCAACACGGGGAGGAGCTATCCCTACCCAAATATTTCTGGTATGAATGAAATGTTTGTGTCCATAACTGAATAATAGTCCAGGGAGAAAGAACCTTAAAGCTTCTTTATTTTCAGCTAAAGGTTAAGCTAGACCAAAGCCATAGTGTTTGAGAATATGATGATTCAAGATACCAGCTCAAGCAGTTAAGTATGCTCTAAGGCTAGGTCTGTCCATAGACTCCTCATGTGTATATTTATACAAGACAGACTAAATTCATAAACCATACCATAGAGTTTATGATATGACCTTATGAGACAACAATTTAATAACTTGATGATGCCCTTCTCTTTGTAAGTTCAATGCATTCAAAGTCATCCTAGCACACTTCAAGAGCTTTCTCACTCATAACGTGATTTCTTTTCTTTTCCGCTTGCTAAAATGATCTAGGAACCACACATTATTATTGCATTGAGTACTTAATTGAATCAATAAGAAGAAAAGAGAAGGAAGTGGAGTGTTAGGGGGAAGAATCCAAAGCCTCCTAACTCATTGCCCCACCCTTAAAAAAAATGCACAGCAGTATCCTACAAGAAATCAAACATTTTACTGAAAAGAACAACATAACAAACGAACACGATCGTTTAGGTACTATAAATAAGTATGGGACAAGTTGAAACAAGCAAAATATCGCTAAAACCAAATGTGCACTTTGGGAATTCACTATTACTATCTTACCTCAAACAGCCTTCAAAAAACAGTGCACTCCTATCGCTCTTCTTTTTAAGCTTTGGATTTACTATAACCTGACTCAAAACAACTAATAAATCTTAATAGTAAACTGAAAAAAAAAACTTGGACCAGTAAGAGTACAGGTATCATTTCAAGTTTCATTCGTTCTTGATTCTAACATAAATTAGCATACCAGAAGATCGAAAGGACGTCGATCCTGCGCTCTAATTTCTTCCTTGGGCGCATAACTAATATATTCGGCTGTATCCTCTAAAACTATGATCTGCAAAACATATAACAAAACTTTAGCAGAGTTTAAGCCATAGTATTAAATTGTGACCGCAACGAAGTGTATCGTCCGCAACACCTGCAGCCGCAATTTAGTCCTATGGTTTAAGCGATTCTAAACAAAAATGTCATACTTTTCTAAAGGACAGAAACAATAATACTAATAAAAAACCAAAAGGAGGTAACTTTGGAAAACTAACTCTCAATGGGATTCCAATTTGAGGGGCAGCAAGGCCTACACCTGGAGCCATCCTCATAACCCGAACCATATCAGCAATTATCTTCTGTATCCGCTCCGACCCTATTTCATTCGGGTCAACTTCCCTGGCAGGCTCATGCAAAACCGGGTCACCCGCTTTAACTATCTCAGGCAAGCTCATTTTATTCTTATCTCCAAGACCCAGAAACCAACCTGCTTTGCTAACAGCCGAAGAAGAGAGAGGCATTCGGGGAGTTAAGAGTGGGTCCGGGTTGGAAAATGCGGGTCTGGAAAGGGGAATTCGGGTCGAAAGATAAAGTGGGGCTGATTTGGCGGAGTTCAAGCCGAGAGTGACCGGTGGTAAGAGACGAAATGAGAATCTGTGAAGAACTTCCATGGTCGTCGGTGGCTGTAATAATTTTGCAGTTGAGGAGTTTTCATAAGCAGCAGGGTTTGAGGGTAAAGCCCATATTTTTCAACTTTTGCTGCTTATTATTGAGTTCTATGATTGAGCCTGAATTTCAGCTTCACTTGAGTTTGCCTTGGGCTTCACTTAGGCTTTATTATCATTTTAATATCCATTTTTAATGGGTAAAGTACACAGTCCCCTACTTATAAGATAGTGTTTTGTTGATTTATTTAACTATTAAAAGTTATAAAATGATTATCTGGTTATAGAATGTTATTTTGTTGAGTCATCTAACTATTAAAAATTACAAAATGATCATTTGACTTTTCATATGTTCCAAACTCGTCATTTTTCGTTAAAAAATCGGCAATCTCGATGTTAACCTATAGATTGAGATATGCTAAAAATCTGACCCCTAAAATTTCAAACTACTATCATATCTCATTCAACATGTTAACATTCAGCTTAGACTAACATCAATTTTTTTATCGAAAAAGGATGAGTTTTTGAATATATGAATAGTCGAGTGGTCATTTTTTAACCTTTAATAGTCGAGTGACTCAACGAAGCAAAGTCATATAGTCAAAGGTATATTTTGTAACTTTTAATAGTTTTAGGCTCGATAAAGCAACACCTTATAATCAGATGATCATTTATGTACTATATCCCTTTTATAATTTATCTTTTAAATTTTGTTTCTATAATAATATTATGATTAGTTTGTCCATGATAACGAGATTAATCACAAATCATAGAATAATTATTTTTAAATAGTCTAATCTTTTATTCTTTAAATTTTGAGTAGACTAAAATAATCAAATTTGTAGGATATCTTAAACAAATCATTTGAGAATTACCATACAATTTTAATCTCATGGTCGGAAATTTCAAACATTCAAAATCTGTCAAGTTTAATTAAGAATGGTATTTTATATTAATAGAAAGCTTATTGAATCTAGTTTCTGCTACAACAAATGAAACGAGATTTTAATATGTATAATAATATATATATTTTTTTATCTTTGAAGGTAGCACATACTTCTTGTTAATGAAAGTTAGTATTTTTATCACGGATGAACACAAAGTTTTATGCTATGGGGACGAACTTTTAAAATTTTATAATTTATAAAATTTTAAAGGGGTGAAGATAGATTTTTAATATAAAATATATAGAAAAATTAAAATATTTGATAATTTTAGGTTTTCATAAGAATGACCGTCTCTATCTACCCATTGATATATCCCCAATTCCTATTATCCCGTTGAATGTTATGAGATTATGAAAGTACATCTGACATGATTTAAAACGTCTAATGAAAATAATAAATAATTTTTATTAAAGTATATGACTAAAATTTTATTATATTTCGGTTAAAAAAATTATGATATAACTCGTTTGACGAAGAAACAAATTGGAAGGAAAGATGAATATCTATAATTAATACGAATTCTCCTGTGTCCATACAATTATTTATAAGGTTTGATGTACCTTTGCGAAATTCTCTTGGACATAGTGAAATCCCTTTCCTTTGGTATTTGTTTTCATGTTCTTTAATTTTCTATTTTAAAAACCGTCACGTAAAAGTTTTTACCTTCTTGTTTGCGATCTTATTGCTTTAATTATTGTTTATTATATTCAGTAATTTTTCTGAATAGAAGTCGTTAATTTTATTAAAATAAAAAAATATTTAAAATTATAATGAATGTTTGCAATCATGATCATAAATTAGAGGTATAATTAAATATTTTTCTACTAATTGACATAGTAAACTAGTCACTTAAAATCATACAAGAACAAAATTAAAAAAATTAAAAAAATCCAACCAAACAACCCAAACAAATATAGATACAGGCAGATTTGATTGCATAGACAATCAAACTATAAAAGGATATTAAAACTACAGAAAGATCATCGACAAACCGCATATCATAGATGAGCAACATAAGAAAACTATCAACGAAAGCAGCCGCATATCCAAATCTAATCGAATGGTCCAAAGTAGGTAAAATTAGCTTGATAACAAATAAACACCATCTTTATTATTCGAGGCATCGTCAAATCCAATCTAAATCCAATTTTAAAAAAATATAAACGAAAAGAATGATCAAATGACTAATAAAGAAGACAAAAAAAATGTACCAAAAGGTAGAGAAAAAACATGCCACAAAGATAAATAAAAACGTGACATAAAAAAATTGTGTATCATCGCAGGTCAAGAAAAATAAAACAAGTAATCTATGATTTTTTTTCTTCGCATAAAGAAACTTAAATACATAAATATATTTTAGAAATAAATTTCAATAACTTCCAATAATTAATTTAAGAGTTAATTATATCATATGTCCCTAAACTAAGTCTTCATTTTAATTTAGGCCCTAAACTTTTAAACATTCAAATTTCATCCTCAAACCATGCTTTCATTTTAAATTAGTCTCCAAACTTTTGAACGTATCAAATCCATCCCCAAACTATAACCCTCATCTTATATTGATCCCCAAGCTTTTAAATATTTTAATTTCAACTTTGAAGTTTTGAATGATTTAGGGGGGTATAATTGAAATGTTAAAAAGTTTGGGGACTAATTCAGAATAAGGGTCATAGCTTGAGGGTGCATTTGGAATGTTCAGAAGCTTAGGGACCAATTTAGAATTGGAGTCATAGTTTAGGGATTAAATTAAAATGTTCACAAGTTCAGGGATGAATTTAGAATAAGAGACATGATTTGGGGATCTATGTTGATATCAACTCTTATTTTAATATTACATATATCTTTCGAATACATCACTCATCAATTATTTTATTTTAGTTCCTATTAAATTCATCTCCCTCGTACTAGAAACAGAAGAAAGCCTAACCATACAGAGTTTAAGTAGAATAAAATTTGTGTAATATAGAAAATGATTAAGATTTTTCAAATAAGAAATCATATAAAATGAAATGACAGATGGTGGATAGATGTGAGTGAGTAATAAAATAATATCCCAACATGGGGCATGGGCAGAGTGCAGACCCAATTATTCAGCCTTGCCCGAGAGTTTAGGGCACCCATATGGGTCACAGCTTGTTCCTACCCAATAATTTACACTCGTGCGATATTTATGTATTAAAATGGCCATACCACTTTTAATATAAAATTAAACAACAATATTCTAAAAAGTAAATGCATACAATGAATCTACAAGGCAAATAATTAGGCAGGTACGCATAGACGCCATAAATGCTCGTTTTTTTTATTTATACTGAATCATGAAACTTCTAGTAATTTTAAGAAATAATAATATAATTTATTACATGCAACACGTATTTGCTAATTGATGTTCGTATTCTTAAGGTGTAATTTCATTTGAATTGTCGACTCCAATTGCGTGTGGGAAACTTAAATGTTGGATTTTATCTTCAAAGTAAAAAAAATACATATATGATAATAAGTAGGCAATATTATAGGCTTTACAAAGTTTTCTTCGACTTTTAATAAATATTATTTATAGTTATTTGATTTTTCCAATTTAATTTTAAAAATGAGTATTCATTAGTTTTTAGTTTACTTGATTCAAGTATTCTATCTATTATTTGATCAGTTCGAGTTTAAAAAGATTTTACCTAATTCGATTTTGGGTAAAAACTCTGATCAGACTTGACATAAATATCTAACAAAAATTTTGTTTTTATTGGATAAAATAAGTATCTAGTTGAAAAACTATATATATAGATATTATTGTAATTATCTCTAAGTATATAAGAGATAATTACAATATTTTTTCAGGTCAAGTCAAGTATGAAGAAATTAACCCTAAATTCAAATATGATCATATCTTATACTTCAAAAAAAAATTAAATTTGACTCGAACTTTATATTTTTTTAAAAAAATGACTCTATTTAGTTGGGTCAAAACCTATCAAGCTCGAGTCTCATGCCCATCCCTATCTCGTTTACTCTATCCACAATATTATAATTCAAATTTATGGGTTTACTTGAAATTTAGTGTCTCATTTCACTAAAACAATCTACTATTGATATAAATATAACCATTTTAACACATAATAACAAAATGTAACAGGTTTAAACATAATAAATTACAAGGGGTTTAACACACGTATTTGTAATTAGGGTTTTGATACTGATAATTTATTATATGTATGATGTATAATTTTATAAAACAATATATAAATAAAATTATAATGTTGTTATGCCTTTCTTTTAATAATTTTTAATATGAATTTAAAGATGAAAAATAACATTATAAATTTTTTATTATAGTATAAATATATAAAATAATTATCCAATAAATTTATATAAGAAATGGATATAGATATATACTAAAAGTGCATGGTTTTGTCAAGCACCACTGTTCATGCATACTTTTCGCGAAATACGTTGATGTCGGTGCGATAAGTCCAATTCAAATAAAATAAAAATTCGATGATTAAAACCAATTTAAAACTTAATTACGAAAAATATAAAACTAATATTCTAATTAGACTTGAATTAGTAAAAGTTTGCTTCCATTTGTTGAAAATTCTGCCATGGCGTGCTGATGCAACAAATATGTAAAAAATGGAATCGCAGCCTAACTTAATATTTTGTTTGATTTTGCTGCCTTTAAATATCCAAGGCCATTCCCCTTAGCATGGCAGACCATCATCAATAAACAAGCAAAGGCTACTCGATCCAGGATTACAATGAAGAAAAGCTCCAGATTTGCAGACCGAAATGTTGAAAACCGCAAGGATGATAGAGCCGTGACCGAGAAAAGGCGGCGGCTGCTCCGTCGAATAAACTGGAGAAAAAGCCGTCCGTCGACATAAACGAAAGTGCCGAGGCGTTCATCCAGAAATTCAGGCATCAACTTCTGCTCCAGAGGCTTGAATCTATCGAAAACTACGAGCAAATGCTGGCTAGAGGTCTCTAAGAGCTTGATACTGGTATTCTTTGCTATGCTGCTCATCCTATTGTTACATTTGCTTTGTTTTTTTAAATCATGAATGAGCATATATAGATGGTATGGATTGGAGGGTCGATATTATGTAAAAGAATGTATATGACTCGT